TGTTTTTTGAAGTAAGTTATTGGAAATTTGTGAGTAAAAGTGATTCTGTAAGAAAATTTTGTGAGAAGTTTCTCACATGAACTGCCAAAAAAACTCACATTTTAAAACGGTGCGGAAAGTAAAATTTTAATTAAAAAAAAATTAATTTAAACACGAATTCTATGAAATAATGAAAAAGTAATGTTATATATATAATTAATTAAGATTAAAATAAATATTGTTCACTAATTTTTAGAAAATACGAGGAATTTCGGATATACAGAAGCATTGGCAAGGGCGAATTTAGTGGGATAATTTTTCGAACAATTTTCATTTAATTTCTACACAGAAAAAATTTATTTTAAAAAATTTTTAATTAAACGATTAATCGAAAATTTTAAAAGGGTTCAATTCACTTTGTATTTGAATCATAAAAATGTATAATCAAATACGTATTTAACAACAACAAAAATATAAAAAAATAAAAAATTTTTATACGAAATCAATTCGTGTAGCCTCTTCTCACTTTAAGTTACAGAAACACTTTACTCACAAATCGAAAAACGATGGAATTTTTTGTTTCACACTTCTCGATGTGAGAACTTCTCACTAAAAGTTACAGAAACGGGGTACAGATTAATTTAAGTCAAACAGAGTTACAACAACTTTTGTCCCCAAAAACGTGACCTGTACCCCGTTTCTGTAACTTTTAGTGAGAAGTTCTCACATCGAGAAGTGTGAAACAAAAAATTCCATCGTTTCTCGATTTGTGAGTAAAAAGTGTTTCTGTAACTTAAAGTGAGAAGAGGCAACACGAATTACGCTTTTATTGGAAATTTCCAATAAAACAGCTGTCAAAAATATAAAAATTAAAAGAAGAAAACGAACAAATTTATAATCGAAGAATAAATAAACAAAAAATATAGAAATTAAATGAAAATTGTTCGAAAAATTACCCTACTAAATTCGCCCTTGCCAAATTCTAAGTTTACGCCCACGTACTTTTTTAGCATTTGCTTCCGTACATACGAAATTCCTCGTATTTTCTAAAAATTAGTGAACAATATTTATTTTAATTAATTATAAATATAACATTACTTTATCATTATTTCATAGAATTCATGTTTAAATAAATTTTTTTTTTAATTAAAATTTTACTTTCCGCACCGTTTTAAAATGTGAGTTTTTTTGACAGTTCATGTGAGAAACTTCTCACAAAATTTTCTTACAGAAACACTTTTACTCACAAATTTCCAATAACTTACTTCAAAAAACATAAATGACAGATAGTTCTCACAAAATTTTCTTACAGAAACACTTGCATGTGAGAAATGATATTTTGTTTCAATTTATATTGTTTTTTCTTCAATTTCACTGTTTCATGCGAGAAACTTCTCGATGCGAGAGTTGCAGAAACGAGGCACTGGTCACGGTAGGAGCATACTTCGTATATTTTGATATTATGTGATAAATGTTGCTATTAAAGTTGCCTACACACTATGAGAGAAGTCGTTACATTTTTATTTCATACTGCCAAAACAAAATAAAATGAAAATTGGTATGATTATCAAAAAAATAAAATAGAAAATATATTTTGTTTTTACACTATCAGATTTTGAAATAAAATGAAACTTCAATTTGAAAAAATTCAAAGAAAAAACATACATTTTAATATTGTCTCTATTTTAATTTGAAATATGTTTCTATTTTTATTTTTTTCTTTGTTTAAATAAAAATAAAACTCAAATAAAACGAAAAAATCCAATCGTTTTGATATTTTTCAAAAAATGTAAAAAAATCATACGATTTTCAATTTTCCATCAGTATTTTCAGTAAGTTTTATTGTATCTACTAGGGTGATCGATTATTCGACATTTTTCAAAAACCGGTTTTCAAATAGTTCGAATAGTTGACATTTAAAAAAAAAACCGGTTGATATTTTTCAAATTCAGAAAAAACCGGTTAACCGGTTTTTCATTATAAATAAAAAAAATATATTTTAATTTGAAAAACTTAATGTTTATGTTTAAATTTGATTAATAAAACATGGCCCGAAATGATTTTTAACAGTTTAAAAGATTATAACTTTAAATCTAGTCGTCTGATTTACATTATTTCTTTAATATAAAAAAATTAGGAAAGAAGTGGGACACTTCTGTTAAACATAAGGTACTATGTAATCCTAGCTTATTTTAAAAGCCCTGTTTAGGAAATTTGCATAGGCATTCCAACACTTCCATAAAATTTCAGCCGTAAATTAATTATTGTAATTGGAATATAATCTTAAGATTGATAAAATTTTATCAAACAGTTATCAATTTTACAAATATTTTTTTTTAATTAATTAGAAAAATCAAAAAAGTTTAACCAAATGAGCTGTAGAAAAATATACGCTAGTTCCTCGACTCGAATATTTTTAAAATTTAGACGGGCTGTATTATTATTTACTTAAAAATTTAATTTAAATAATCTTTGAATACAAAGCAAATAAAAGTATTTGAAACCGGTTTTTAAAAAGTGAAAAAACCGGGTTATTCGATATTCGAAAAATCAACATCAAGAAAAAACCGACACTGGTGAAGCAGAAAAAACCGGTTTTAAAACCGGTTGAAAAATCGAGTCGATCACCCTAGTATCTACACTATAATATTTTTAATTTTATTTGAAAAATTTGACATGTCGTTTTACTGAATATTTGGTGTGTAGCCAACTTAAGTAAATATTTTTACATATTATTGTTGAAGAATCTTAATGTACATAGATTTAGTATTTCAAAAAGATATAAAACACAAAATTTGTTTGAAAAATGTAAAAGTTATTAAAAATTCCCCAAGTCATTAACGTGTCTCAGAGCACTTGATTACGGAATGTCGAAAAAATTTAACTTATTTTGAAAAATATTCCAATAAAATTATTTTATTACATAAAATATATCTATATTTACTCAAATATAAGTTTTTGTCCGTAAAAACTTATATTTGTTTCAAAACTCCATTATCAGTTTTTTTAAAACTTTGTTAAACAAATGTTAAAAATTTGGAATCTTACCGGCGGATTTATGGTGAATAGATTAGGGAATAATTACTTATTTGTTTGTGATATTTACTAAAATTACAGGAATTTATTTATTTTTTTTAAATTAACCCTTTATTTTTTGAAATTATGTAGAGCATTATTTAAATTGATTTACTGAACTTTAGGGTTATATTGGACCCAAGTGCTTTAAAGGATTAATTTTATTTGTTTTCATGTTATTTTAAATATAATATTCTGTAAATATTTTTTAAATGTATAACAGTAAGAATTAAGACTTATTTATTTTCTAAAATATTACAAAAAAAAAAAAAAGTTTTTCGCGAAATTCGCAGAATTCAAATCTTAGGTACAGCTAAACTATAAGAGGCATTGGCCTAATTTTTTCACCGTTTTATCCCCTAATCTATTAACAAAGTTTAAAATAACTGAAAATTGAGTTTTAAAACTGCCGTGTAATAAATTATTTTTTTTATCATAGCTCAGAACATATGTATCCACGTTGTCTTTTAAGGACAAAAACGTATGCTTATTTTGTATAATAACTACTCAGTTTTTGTTAATGCTTTTCATACAAAATTTTAAATATTAAATAAAAATAAATAATTCGAGTAAATATAGATATATTATATGTACCCAGAACTTGTTCTAAAACCAACTAGTTTTAGAACGAGTGCAAATAGAACCACTTCAGATTCTTAAACAACAACCTAGGAACTAATGATGTCGCCATTAGTTCTGGAACACGTTCTTCGAAACATTGTTTTGGTTCTAAAATACTTCTAAAGAGTTTTAAAGAACAAGTTCATTCTTCTAGTTCCAGAACCGTTCCAAAGAATGAGTGTCGACTCTATAACGCTTTCTCAGAACCAGTTCCAAAGGTGACAATTTCGAACAGAAATCATTGGTCTCAACGCCAAAGTAGAATAAAATAGTTTTATTGGAATATTTTTCAAAATAAGTTAAATTTTTTTCCACATTCCTTAATCAAGTGCTCTGAGACAAGTCAATGACCTTTTGTGTTTTATATCTTTTTGAAATATTAAATATATGTACATTATGATTCTTCAACAATAATATGTAAAAATATTTACTTAATACAACATTTATTACATAATATCAAAATATACGAAGTATGCTCCTACCGCGACTAGGTCACGTTTTTGGGGACAAAAGCTGTTGTAACTCTGTTTGACTTAAAGTAATCAGAATTTTGTATAAGTCACCTCGATTTTCTCTCGAATTTTCAAAATGGTATTACATATGTCGATTTTCTTTAGAAATATGACTAAGCCATTGGCCCGTAGCTCAAATTTGCTGAAATTTGGAAGTTATGAGTACACCAGAGGAACATAAAATATAATGTTCGAATATTCGAAAAAATTGTTTATGGCTTTAAAATACTCTCTAAATCATAAAAACCAAAAAAGAAAATCTGAATATTCGAACATATGTTCAAAAACGTTTTGAGTATACTTAAATCTGTTCCTGTAGTCCAAATTGACAAAAATTTGTTAATTATGATTACTATGGTGGCAATATAGTATTGTGTTCGAAATTATGTTCGAAACACGTTTAATGGTTTTAAAATAATCTTTGAATAATAAAAAAATAAAAAAATTTCGAAAATTCGAACTTATGTTCGAAAATGATCTATTAAAATTAGTTCCTGTAGTCCAAATGGACTGGCGAAGGCATTACAATATTATGTTCGAATATCCGAAATTAACTTCAAATGATTTTAAAATATAATCTATGGATTAAAACCATTATTTAATTTCGAAAATTCGAACTTTTGTTCGAAATAAAAAAAAAAAAAATAATGTTGGATAATAATTTAAGCTATTAAGGTCATAAAAAACTATTAATGGTTTTTATTAATTCAATGCGCTAATATATAAAGGTAAAAAACTAATAAAAATACAATACTTAACATTTTCAAAAAAGTACTGAAAAACATATTTAAATTTATTATTTTATATATTTACCATATGAACCAGGAACATAAATGTATCCGAATTCGTTAACAATTTGGATGGAGCAAAGACCAACTAATGCTGATAGACATAATCCAATTAATGTAACTAAAACAACTAAAATAGCATCACTCCGTAGCGTTAATTTAGAACACTTCTTATGTGTTCGACTTGATATTGCTATAATGGATGTTCCTAAGAGACCCCAAGTTAAAAAAGCTTCTTGTGCTGCAGCTGCCCACGATTTTGAATTGACCAGAAATTCATCGAACTCAGTAGAACTAAACATTTTCTAAAAGAAAAACAAATTATTATTTAGAATTGCAAAATGTACACATTATTGGTTGTACATTTTTAAATAAAACTTACCTGTAGCTTCGCAAAATCAACAACAAATAATAGTTTTACTGCAATCACTGCTAACAAAATAATTGGCAGTATTCCAAGTAATAATATAACTTTACCAAAAGATTTTAGACCTTTACTTAGTATCAAAAATACTGCTGCCCAAAGTATGACCAAATAAAAAGCAACCTGCTTGAATTGCAAAGTTATGTAAAAAAGTGATTTCAAACTTATAAAGAATTTATTTTTTGATCTCTTACGCGATCGCTTATGTGAAGGCGCACTCCATTTACGTCATTCATTTTTAATATTTGCAGTCTTTGTAAAACATTGACATTAAAGTAATCTGGAATACTTTCTGTTAGATTTGTGTAAATATGTGTGGATTGTCGCGGAATTATAGGATGAACGAACTCCGACCAGGGATATGACGAGTGATGTATGAATATATCTCGAATATACACTAAAAGCCATACAACTACAACCGATGAATAAATTGTAATAAAATATTGCACAAGAACTAAAGATATTCCAATACCAACACATATGGGGCTTATTTTCCACATAGATATTGGACCTGCTTTAATTTTTGCTCCTAAGCTCATCTGCAGCCACAAGAATGGAATTCCAAATAGAATTGAAAGTATTAAGAACTGAAGTAAAAAATTTCCACCATAATTTATGGTAAGCACGGCAAACCGACATATGTTAAATAATCCAAGTGTGCAAGAAATTAGAGCCAAAGTTCGGCTATAGTTGTGAGGCCAATAAGAGTTGAAACCGGACTTTAAAGATTCATCCACATTTTCAGATTCCATAGGTGGTGCTCTCTGTCGATTAGTGTCCTCACTCACATTAATATTAGGTTCAACTGTAGTATCCGTTATTTCTAAAGATTCGCCAGAATCTGTGCTGGATTCGATTGAAACCGGACTTGTATTACGTGAGGTTCGTGTCGTACTACCATCAGAAACAATATACAAAATCTCCGGTATGTTCGAACAGGTTGAAGCGGGGGCACTCATAGGTCTCAGGTTATCAAAATTAACATGTTCACAATTTTGATTTGAATTATTAATAGTTGCTGATAATGTGGCGAATCGCTCTGCACGTCGGCCAAACTGTCTGGGCCTATCGTTTTCTATGTTGTGCAATAATGTTTCTTGTTGATCAATCAGGTTTTGAAATATTTGATCATCTGTTAAAACTTGCAAACCACGATTAAATACCAATTTGTTGGCGTTTTCGTTTTCTGAATTATTATCACTTTGGGAGTATTCCGATTTATCTATTTGGGTTGAACATTGCGGCGTTTCTCTTTCAATCAAATTTGTATCCTCAATTTTTGCTAGTTTCTGACTTTCACATTTTAATGTTTGTTTATTCCATGTTAAATAAATTGGAGTGACTTCATGTTCTAGTAATAAAAATTTAAAATAAAAACATTTTTAAATTTACACTAAACTAATTTAATAAAATTTATCAATCAATTAAAATAGTAATTAAATATATAATATTTTTGTTGTTTTAACTTCAATAAATAAAACTGAAAACGAGATTTTGAAACTGAAATCACATTTCAGCTTGAATTGAATTAAACGATTATTCAAGAATTTTTAATGTGTTAAATTAAATTTTTATTTCAAACAATCACATTTCTTCGTTTGTGGTCCAAAAAGTGTACAATATGTACTTGAAAAATTAACATTACAACATCAAAAAATGCCTATTTTTTCATTCTTATTTGCAAGTGTTTACAGTAGTCGCACCACTTAGAACTCCACTTATTACGTAAAGCTGTAGGCTCACACCTCGAGTTTTACGCCATCTCACATTCTAGGCGTCGGTCAAAAGTTACAATTACAAAATATTAGGATGCTTGAATGCGTAGAATGCTTAAAGCAGATCTACTTTCTCCTTTTATTATTATTATTATTTTTTCTAACTTGCAAATTTAATGGCGATGTGTACAACACACAATTTGCCAGGTTGTCCCACTGTACATGATGTACACGAAGTTAACAGTCCCATATTTTAATGGGATTTTGTAGAAACCTTTGGGAGTTGAAAAACACCTACTTCCACAGACTACTTATGCAAAAGTAGACGGTTGTGTTCTAAATAATTTAAAAAAATTATGGTAATTTCATTCATGTAATTTAACTTAAGCGTACTTAATTTTAAATTAAAATTAAAAACAAACCGAAATAAAATTAATTTAAAACTCAAATAAAATTTTAAATCAAAAAATAAAAAAAAAAAAAACAAAAATCAATAAAAAAAAATAAAAAACAAAATCAAAATCAATTATAAAATAAAAATTTAAAACCAAAATAACAATTAAAAATAAAATTTGAAATTATAACCAAAACAAAATTATGAAATGAAAAACAAAATTACAATCTTGATTAAAGTAGCGTATCAATGTTACGCTCTTTAATAAATTTAATTAATTCATGAAAATCTTTTTTTTTCATAGTTTGTTTCCTACAACTGGCATGTTTAAAGAGGCCATGAAAAGCTTTGCGCCCTATAAAGCTGCAGGGCCGGATGGCATTTTCCCGGCACTTTTGCAGAAGGAGGCGAGACTGATTTCCGTACATCTGTGAAAGATTTTCACTGCATGCTTGAAATTAACATATACCCCCATTTAGTGGCAGGATGCAAGGGTAATATTTATACCCAAACCAGGAAAACCTAGCTATGCGACACCTATGTAAGTCCTATCGACCGATAAGTCTTACGTCCTTCCTGTTTAAAACCTTAGAATGGATAGTCGATAGTATGGTTAAAAGCAGTATACCAGACTGAGATCTCCCCTTTACTCTGGGTAACCACGATAAATAGCCTCCTAAGGACCCTAACCGAGAAAGAACGTAATACTTCTAAGGGGAAAGGATCCAAATTACTTGTGTAGATGGGTTGAAGAGGCTCTGAACACGGCCTTGAGCTGGGCTCAACCTAGAGGCAGGCCTCAATGTTAACCCGGCGAAGGCAGAAATATGTCTTTTCACAAGAAAGATAAACATTTCTGAGTATATTGAACACTGTTTCCTGGGCAAGAAGATACCTGTGACAGACAGAGTTAAGTACTTCGGTTTAAATGTAATTTCAAACTACTACAGTAAGTTCAGCGTACATGCTGTTTGAGTATAAGCTGAGCCATGAGCACTACGTCAACCAATGTTCTGGAAAGAATGCTAGATATTCCACACATTGAAGCATATATAAGATATGAGGCGGCACTTAAAGCCGAACGGCTGATAACTTTAGGCGAACTGACCAAAAGCGGTTATACACTGAAAATAATCCATGCCTAATATACACGAAAAATGTTGTACATTGTACAAAATGCTTCGTGGTTTCGCACCACGAAATTCTTTCGTAATATATACGAAAATGTACGAAATATTTTAGTAAAATGCAAAATAATTTTATATAATTTTAGAAAAAAAATTATTCATTTTACGTTTTTTTTAAAGACTTAAATATTTTAGTTCTTTTAAAATAATTATTGTAAATTTAGAAAAAGATTGCGAATTAAAAAAACAAATTTTTTATGTTTTTTAAAAAAAACATAAAAAATTTTACAGGAAACTAGGCAGCTAATTTCCTGTAAATTAAAAATTACGTTTAATTTAACTCCCTTAAAATTACGAAAATAACAAAAAAAAAAAACAATAATTTTTTTGTGAAATCAAAAATAATTCTAGTATATTACTAAATAATCTTGTTACGAAAAAAATTCGTTACTTTCGTTAAATATTACATGCCTTAACGAAATTATTTTTGTAAAAGAAAACAAAGTTTCTTAATATATACGAAAAAAGATATTACGACAGGTTTTCGTACTTTCGTAAAATTAGAAAAGGGGTTGATTAAACAATATTTCGTATTATACACGAAATTTTCGTATATATTACGAAAAAAGTAGTTACGAATTTTTTTTTCGTAAAGTTAAGCATAGATTATTTTCAGGGTAGGGCACGTCATCAATGTATACTGGACACATTGGAAGGTTATATACATACCAGAGACAAAATATGTCGGAAACTTTGAAACGCTGATCCCAGATAGAATGTCTTGGCCAAGCGGAACTTTAGAGCAAATACCAGTAGGAATCCGTTGCTACGCGGATGGCTCTAAATTGGGAGACAAAGTGGGCACACCTATACAAAATTGGACGTGCGGATTCAGACGAATTAGACCATGTAGAGAGGACAGTGAAACTCTGGAGCACTTTCTTTGCCATTTTCAGGCTTTCGCTGTAATTAGATCCAAATGTCATGGGATGATATTATTCGGGATATAATATTCCTCGACAGGATCCAATGAAAATCCTCTGATCTGGTTAAAGGAAAAGTAAAAATTACCCTTGCTCTGAGATATCTCAGCGTAAGAGTGATTCCACTCATCCTTTAGTTCAATACAAATGAGTCTCAATGCCCACTTTACCGAGTAATCCACCTGAAGAGAAGCCCCGCAATCAAGAGCTATTTTCGTCAATTCATTTTATTTGACTTTTATTAATAGGAATACCCATATGACTTGGAACCCAAATCAAGTCCTATATTAGAATTTGCAACAATCTGGATAATCTCCGATACAATAAAGTTTTCCCATTTACTGTCCCTAATAGAAATAATCTCATTCCTAATGTCAGTGAAAATAGCAACCCGTTCATACACATCTGTAGCCGCAATTATTAATGCATCCCGAATTGTAATCAGTTCAGTAATTAGAGACGACAACCGACAACAAAATAACCAAGAAAAAACGATCAATGTGTTCCAGAAAAATAGCACATCCTGCTGCCGATTCGGAAAGAGAGCCATCAGTGGCCATATTCTTAAAGCCATTCTCCTTGTATTCTCCAAGAAGATGACTATAGTAAGCCGTAGTGCTTTCCCTAGAAGCATTGTGTTTACCACCAAATGGATTATCAACCTTAAAAGTAACCTTCAGAGATATACTCGATCTAACACATTTCCCTATCCTGTCAAAAATATGACCAAATTTAGAGAAGACAAATGAATAACTGTTGTTCAGTCCACGATACGTCGCAATCAATCTAAATAGGGCAGGATTGTATATGAAAATTCGATCAACTCTTTAGCCGTCAAATATATGGCCCTCAAATTCGAAGGAAGTTCACATGCCAGAGCATAAATTATGTGAACCGGTGTTGATGGTGTAAGACCAACCATCTTCTAAGAGTCGAATTTTGAAACAACCGAATCTTATTATCAATATTTGTAAGTTGGAGAATGAGCCGAGGTAGTCCTGGCCAGCGTTGCCACTTTGCTCCAATTGGACCAAAATTGGTAGTTTCAAATCTCTGCAATGACTTTTGGTAGTTTGGTTGGTTGGTTTAAATTTTGGTCCAAATTTGGTAGGATGAGATAATTTTGATCTCATGCATATGAATTTATAAACATTTCTGACCTTGTAATAAGAATTTCAATAAATACGTCAATCTTAAGTTTATCCTTGTTAAGTTTATATTGTTTGTTCTAAGAAAATATTAAGTTTCAATGTATTTCAACATTTCTGATTCATGAATGTTAGTAAGTTAGTTAGTTTGAAATGAGGATGTTACATAAAATCCGAAGGAATACTTCTAGGTCTGCATCGGTCCCGTTGTGAACTTCCTAACCAATGCCTCAGCTATAACATAAACCACTAACCTGCTGGAGGCCACACTAATTCATTTTTTTCTAAGAAGCCAGATTCATTAATGAATATATAATTTGGTGGGTCTACTACCTTACAAACGGAATCACAAAATTAATATACCCCAATCTTTTTTGATGGGTATAAAAATATTAGGGTATATTGATTTTGTGATTCCGTTTGTAAGTACATATTTTTTCTAGGTTCTTATTAGATTCTAATTGCTGTCGAAAACAGCAATTATGTATTTCATAACTAATTACGTAAAATTAAACCATTGTCTCTTTGGAACAAATCATTGTATGATATTACATATTATTTTTAAAAATAATGAAACTCTAAACAGAAGCAATTGTCCCTAAGGAAAAATTTAGAAGTTTTTGGAACGTTTTGGTAGTTTTTTGTCGGAACTTTGGTAAGAAAAATAAATTATGAGTGGCAACGCTGGTCCTGGCATATTCAAATTTGCTCCTAATAAAACAACTGTAAAATTTCAATAACACATCGGGCATATGACCACCCCTAATACTTGTCAGGCATTTCACCGCAAATTATAATTTCCTAAGCCATAATTGTAATGCTTCTTAGCCGATAATCTATTCTTTATGTTCCTCCCCAAAAAGGTCAGCGAAGACACTTGCTTAATTGCACATCCATTGACAGAGATTTGCACCTGACGACGACCTCCTTTTGCAAAGTAAGCTACCTTTGTTTTCCGAATATTAAAAGATAGATTGAGGAAGT